CTTCTTGCTTTGTAAGATTTTTTTCCCTTGTTTTTGGCTTTCAGCCTCCCTTGAGTAGGGAGGCACCCATAATTGAGGATTGAAGCCAGTGCCTTGTTCATGCTAAGCAAGCACTCCACCACTGAGCTATGCTGCCAGACTTTTAAAAAAATAACTATTTTTGAAATAGGGTCTCAGTAAGTTGGCCAGGCTGGCTTTGAACTTGAGATCCTCCTGCCTCAGCCTCCTGTGGCCTGGGGTTTCAGATATGTGCTGCCAATTTCAACCTAAATGTAGTTTTTAAAGGTGAGTTTTTAATGTTGGTTGATAAAATAATTAAGAGATAATATAATGAAAAATGTCTCTTCATCTTCTAAACTTTCTACTTTCCTACCCTCCACTATTGATTTCCTGTTTCCTTGTAATTTTTTAAAAATGCACAGATACACTTAGGTTTTCCTCTCACTATTACACAAATGGGACATTATACACACTTAATTTTTCTTAAAAATGAACCTGAGAGCTAGACATATTGGTGTGTACCTGTAGTTGGCAGCTACTTGGAAGGTAATGCAAAAGGGTCACTTGAGCCTAGGAACTTGAGAATAGCCTGGACAACTTAACAAGGCCCTGTGTTAAAATAAATATATAAAGGATTGGGGATATAGTCCAGTGCAGAGATCTTTTCTAGCATGTGTAGGAAGCACTGCATTTGGTACCTACCCTGCTGCCAGTGGCATGGATTTGATAATGGCCTGGGAGTTGATGAGATAAAACAGAATCCAATTTGAGAATGGCCACTAGTCAGTATTGATGATGTTCTTCCTTGTCTTGTATTCCTAGACTACATATTCTATTTTGCTTTCTTAATATTTATGTTATCTTCTACATTGTTGTCATAGAAGTTTATAATCTCTCAGTTGGATTAGGCTGTATTGCCTTTGCCAGAATTTCCTTTCCTGTATGTTTCTAAAAAGGTTGGGCACGTACAGATTATTGTATGAGATTTGGAGGGCAGAAATGAAGCTGCAACGATTTTGTACTTTATGCACATTGTGGGCTATCTGTTGACTCACCTCTTTGTAATGAGATACCTTCTATGATTGCAGCTCTTCCACCTTCCCCTTCTTCCTTTTGCCAGCTTCTGGGTCAGGCATGAGTTTTATCTGTTTGGTAGGGTCTTAAATTTTTAGGACCTCTATGTCATCAAGGTGACAGGGCAACAAAATTTACACCAATTGCAGTGGTATTTGCCTGTAATCTTAAGTTATTCCTGAGGTTGAGGCTGGAGGATCCCAAGTTCAAGGTCAGCCTGGGCAATTGAGCAAGTCCCTGTTTTAAGATTAAAAAAAAAAAAAATTTTTTTTTTTTTTTTTTTTTTTGTGGGGGGAAGTAGTTCAGTGGTAAAACCACTTGTATAGCTTTCTTAAGGCCCTAGATTCCAGTCCCAATACTGCGTGCACTCTCGCGCGCACACACACACACACACACACACACACGGCACTAATTTTTTTTTGTCTGTAGTTTGCCAGAACTAGCACTTGAGTTAAGGGGGGGAAATAAGATATTTTCAAATAATTGCCACGTAAGGTAATATTTTAGTGTCACTAGAGTGATTATAGAGAAGGAAGAGAGTGCATTTGGGTGGAGACATTTTATTAAATTTGTTTTTTTGTTGCAGACACTGAAATAGAAATATTTTGGGCTGGGGTATAACTCAGGGGTAGAGTGCTTGTACTAGGCCCTGGGTTCAATCCCCAGTGCCACGAAAAAAAGGAAATGTCTAGATTAGGGTTGTATTAGATCTGGTTATGTCTATTGAATAGGAAACACTTAGAGGGAATATTATTTTACTTTCAGTAGAATGATTAAATGTTTAAAAACAAGAACAATGCTGATATTCATGAAGATATGGGGGGGATGAAGATTTCTCAGACATTGTTGGTGGGAAGGAAACCTACCCCCCAAATCAGTGGCGGGATGGAACCTAGGACCTTGAACATAGTATACAAGCACTTTACGACTAGGAGGGAAAATTGACACAACCATTTTAAAAAACTTCTTCTGAACATTCTATATTGCTCATGGCAGCACAAACTGAAAACAACCCAGATGTCCATCAGAATGAAATGGATAGATAAGTTGTGGTCTAGTCATAAAATGGAATACTTTGGAAGAATGAAAATGAAATGCTGGTATATGATTGAGTGTATATATGAGACATGATGTTGAACTAAAGTGGTTTGACACCAAAGAGTACCTGTTAATAGCATTCTTTTTAGGTGAAAATTGGGAATAGGCAAAACTTGTTTATGATGATAAAGTTTGAAATAGTTTGTTTTTTGGGGTGGGTAATTGTTTCTGGCAGCTTAGCCCAGGGACCCTGCTGGAAACCCAGCTGGTTGGATTTGGCTGCCCTCGCAAGAAATAGGCAAAATGATGGAAAATGAAAAATATGCTTTTGTAATTTGATCAGACATGGGAGAAGCAACTAGATAGCTTTTCCTCCAGTTCCACAGAAGTGATTACACCTTATGGAAATAAAAGCCAGGCGGTAGTCGGGCAGGATGGCACATGCATATAATCCCAGTGGCTCTGAAGGCTGAGGCAGAAGGATTAGGAGTTCAAAGCCAGCCTCAGCAAAAGCGAGGCACTAAGCAAATCAGCAAGACCCTTTCTCTAAATAAAATATAAAATAGGGCTGGGGACCTGGCTAATCCCTTGCCCCCCCCCCCCCAAAAAAAAAGCCAGGTGGTAAACACATGCAGATCTAGCTAGGCAGTCCTAGACACTGTGGTGGGAATAGTCTTCAGTCTCCACTTAGTGTCCTTGGCTTCTGCTAGGATAAGAGGGGCAGCCTTCTAGTCTTTACTCTCAGTATGAGGAAGTATGGGGTGTGAAAAAAGTTATAAGGAAGTTCTCCTTAATTTCAGTCTGTTTTATAATGATTAGAGCAGGCATGAAAGATAGTTCTGGAATGTTGGAAATATTCTCTGTCATCGTTGCATAGATATGTTCATTTTGGAAAAAAATATCCATCAAATTGCACACTCGTAATATGTAATATTCTCTGTGGTGATGTTTCAAATTAAAAAAGAAAAGAAAAACAGATTTAAAGAGCAGAGAGCTCAGCCGCTTAAGTTTTATTTTTTTGCTGGTCTGGAACTGCTGTGTTTTTTAGGAGGAGAGGGACCAGGGATTGATCTCAGGGGCACTAAAACACTGAACCACATCCCCAGCCCTATTTTGTATCATATAAAAACAGCCTTTAATTTTACTCACACACACTACTCTTTCAAGGGGGATTGGTGTAAGCCATATCACTTAGTATTTGAAGTTATAGTAGATAAAATAGAAGGTGTCTTGTTTTGACAAGTCCTGCATTGAAAAGGCACAGACAAGATCAACTCTAAGTCTCTTTTAAAGCTTAAATTTCTATGACAAATTTTGGTGGTGGCATATATCTGTAATCCCAGGGATTTAGGAGACTGAAGCAGGAGGATTGCAGGTTTGAGGCCAGCTTGGGCAATTTAGTGAGGCCCTAAGCAATTTGGTGAGACCCCATCTCTCAAAATAAAATATAAAAAGTTCTAAAAGAGCTGGGGATTTGGTGGTGGAACACCCCTGAATTCTGTCTCCAGTATGACAGGAAGAATATAGCTTCTAGTGTAGTGGACGTCAAACATTCTTGTTTGTCAGTAGAAAACTGGCCCTTTTTAAAGCTTTTTTTTTTCTTCCTGATTAATTAGAAAGCCATATTTAGTTTTGTGCAAAAGAGCAAAGCTAGAACTCATGAATTTGTCTAATGCTGTAGCTTATACATATGGAGCAGCAGTAGTTGACTAGTTCATATAGATTCTGTTTGAGACAGTAGCTGCTTATATTTCTTACAGTTCAAGGGTAGTGATGTATAGTTCCAGAAGGGCTAGCAATTAGAATGACCCATTCTATATGACTGGAGCAAAATTTTGTCTAAGAAACCATATTATTTATTTGTTTATTGTAGTGCTGGGGATAGAACCTAGAGCCTGTGCATGAGAGGCGGAGACTATCATGGAGGTAACATTCGGATCTTAGGAACAGTATCATTTAGTGGGCTGTGCCTGTGTCAGCTTGTGGTTTAAATGGAAAATTCCTGTGGCAGCAGTCAACTTGTAACACCAAATGATTTCAGTTTGCATTTTGTCACCAGAAAGAGCAGTAATACAATTAGTTTTCTCATTTATTTTAATGAAACTCTCATGTCATTATTATGAAGGATGGTTAACGACAGTTGTTCATCAAGTGTAAAATTGAAAGGTGTAAAAGGCAAGCCTTTTTAATGTTGAAGGGTTTGTGATTTTATACACTGTTACGTCAAAATCCTCAGGAAAGTTTCCGGTAGTAGTTGGTCTTAGGTAAGACTCCATTAATCATGGTCCTTGCACACAATTCAAGTCCACATGAAGCTGTTAAACATAGAAGAGCATTTAGAGAAGGAAGGCTTCTCTATGTATTTTATGTCTTTTTTTTCCTCCAAAGATAATTATCAACTACTTTGTACATGAAAGCGACTGGTTTATATCTTTTTAATTTTTATGGGGTACCAGGGATTGAACCCAGGGGTGCTTAACCCCTGATCCTCATCCCTTGCCCTTTTTGTATTTTATTTAGAGAAAATGTCTCACTGAGTTGCTTAGGGACTCCCTACATTGCTGAAGCTGGCTTTGAACTTGCAGTTCTCCTACTTCAGCCTCCCGAGTGGTTGGGATTAGAGGTGTATGCCACCACGTCCCACAGTTCACATCTTTTTAATATTAGTGTCTGTTAAAATTTCTTCATCCTGGGCTTTCTTGCTATATGTTTTCTGCCATCATGTATTGATGATGTTCAAGTCTGTATTTATTTTTGCACTGCGGTGGGTATGGAACCTAGAGCCTTGTGCATGCTAGGCAAGCTCTGTACCATTGAGCTATATACCTAGTTCCATTAGTTTTCTTTGAGGCTTGTATTCTTTTGTTTTCTTTTCTTTTTTTTTTTTTATTTTTTTCTTTATATAAACAGTTTATTTACTCTAAACAGCAACACAGACAAACGCCATATAAACACAAAGGAAGAGGTGCGGGTCGAGACGCTGCTGACTTTGGATCGGAGGCGCATTAGCAACAGCCAGGTTCTGAGAGAAGGGTGTGGGAGGGAAGGACAGGGACTTCCACACAGCCCGCTGGAGGCCGGGACAGCTCTGAACGGTGAAGCATGCCTGCATCCGAGCAAAGGAACTAGCTCCTAGGGGCTTACCCAAGTATAAAAGTTTATAATTTTACAGCAGTTGAAATACTGACATCAATATTAAAATAAAAGCAAGTTTTACATAACAATCAAAAATACAAAAGACTGAAGGAAGAGACCCTGTATGAAAAACTGGGGCAATTCAGCGAATTGAGAACTGTATGCCAGTGGCGGAAATGGAAGATGGCGCCCGCCCAACCCTCCCAGGCGACCGGTAACTGCACGAGCGACTTGAGATTTGCAAAAGGTGTAAACAAGTTCTTGCCAAACCAATCCCTTCCTTTTGCGGTGCCACAGGGTCGCTGTCTATGAGGGTGCAAACTTCTTGGCTTGTGCTCGAACCCTTTTCTCATATTCCACTCTGTTTTGGCAGTAAATCGTGTAGGCCTCTGCTTGAGCGGGGTCTTGGATATTTGGTTCATTTAGAAGTTCCTGTATTCCTAATAAGATCTGCTTGATCGTGATGGCTGGCCTCCAGTCCTTGTCCTCCTCCAGAATGGACAGACACACAGTACCAGAAGGGTACACATTTGGGTGAAACAGCGGTGGCTCAAATTTACATTTCGGTGGCGAGGATGGATAATCATCTTTGAAGAGCATCCGCAGCTTGAACAAGCCTCCTTCCCACGGAGTCCCCTTCTTTCCTGGGATAGCACATTCCCAGTTCATCAGGTTCATCGTGCCGTCTGGGTTCTTAGTTGGGACAGCCACAAAGCCAAAAGGATGGTCCTTCCTCCAAGCTTTTCTCTCCTGGGCGAGTCTGCTGAGGGCGATCCCCGACATGTTCAAAGTCCCTGGGCGGCCGCGGCCCGGCGCGTTGCGGCGGCAGAGGCGGCGGCGTTCCCTTTGTCTCGGGACTTCCCTGCGCAGCCCCGAGCGCAGGACCCCCTATTCTTTTGTTTTCCTTTTCTTTCTTTCTTTTTTTTTTTTTTTTTTTTGGTGCTGGGGATTGAACCCAGGGCCTTGGGCTTGTGTGACAAGCACTCTACCAACTGAGCTATATACTCAGCCCCTAGGCTTGTATTCTTGTGAGCTAATATCCATTTCAAATTCAAGTTGATTCTTTCTCTACCACTAGACTCTTTTTTGGGGGGGAGTGTGTCCCGGGGATTGAACTCGATTGAAGTTGACCCCTGAGCCACATCCCCAGCCTTATTTTGTATTTTATTTAGAGATAGGGTCTCACTTGAGTTTTTTGCTGAGGTTGGCTTTGTACTCACCATTTTCCTGTTTCATCCTCCCAAGCCACTGGGATTACAGGTGAGTGCCACTGTGCCTGGTTTAGACTTTTTACCTCTTCTGTAGTCTATTCATAATCACCCAAGGAATGGTCTATCACTGAGCTACATCCCCCAGTCCCTTCCTTCTTTTCTTTGAACATATTTTTTAAAAAAAAAATATTTATTTTTTAGGTGTAGTTGGACACAATGCCTTTATTTTATTTACTTATTTTTATGTGGTGCTGAGGATCGAACCCAGGGCCTCGCATGTGCTAGGCGAGCGCTCTACCACTGAGCCCCAGCCCCTTCTTTGAACATATTTAAAATAAGTTTTGAATTTTTTGCTCAGCCCAACACTCGAGGACACTCATTTTTTCCAACTACTTTTTTTTTTTTTCTGTGAATGGGTCATAATTTCCTATTTCTTTGAAAGTGTTCATTTTTTGTTGTTGAAATGGGGCATTTTAGATAAAGTATTGTAGCCATTTTGAATTTTGATATTTTTCCCTTTAAGTATTATTGACGGTTCTTCCTCTTAGATCACTAAGACAAATCTGAAATATGTCTGCTGCAGTGTATAGTTACTTGATTTCTCTGCCCAGTTTATATATTTTCTCCTCTTTCTTCCTTTTTTAAATATTTTTTTTGCTTTATTTGAAGATGGACACGACATATTTTTTTATTTATTTATTTTTATGTGGTACTAAGGATGGAACCTATGTGCCTTGCATGTGCAAGGCAAGCATATGCATATCCACCACTGAGCCACAACCCCGGCCCCCTTTCTTCTTTTTAATCTTAAACTTGACTTTTTTTTTTATGCTTATCTTTTTGCAGAGCAATTCTTTCTTTTTTAAAAAAAATTTTAATTCTAATTTGTTATGTATGATAGCAGAATGCATTACAATTCATATTATACATATAGAACACAATTTTTCATATCTTTGGTTGTTCACAAAGTAGAGTCACACCATTCGCGTCTTCATACATGTACTTAGGGCAGTGATGTCCATCTCATTCCACCCTCATGTGTCTTTCCTACCCTCATGCGCCCTCCCTTACCTTGCCTCCATTTTACTTTGTCTAGAGTTCGTCTAATCCTCCCATGCTCCCCACCCCCAACTCCATTATGAATCAGCATCCTTATATCAGAGAAAACATTCGGCATTTGGTTTTTTGGGATTAGCTAACTTCACTTAGCATTATATTCTCTAGCTCCATCCATTTACCTGCAAATGCCATGATTTATTCTCTTAATGCTGAGTAGTATTCCATTGTATATATATACCACATTTTTATTATCCACTCATCTACTGAAGGGCATCTAGGTTGGTTCCACAGTTTAGCTGTTGTGAATTGTGGTGCTATAAACATTGATGTGGTTACGTCCCAGTAGTATGCTGTGTTTAAGTCCTTTGGATATAGACCGAGGAGTGGGATAGCTGGGTCAAAATGGTGGTTCTATTCCCAGCTTTCCAAGGAATCTCCATACTGCTTTTTCATATTGGCTGCACCAATTTGCAATCCCATCAGCCATGTATGAGTGTGGCTTTTGCCCCATTTCCTCCCCAACACTTATTGTTGTTTGTATTTTTAATAGCTGCCATTCTGACTGGAGTGGGATGGTATCTTAGAGTAGTTTTTATTTGCATTTCTCTAATTGCTAGAGATATTGAATATTTTTTCATATATTTGTTGATGGATTTTATATCCTCTTCTGAGATATATCTGTTCAATTCTTTGGCCCGTTTATTGAACCATAATGAAATTAAACCCCTGTCTTTCACCATGCACAAAACTCAACTCAGTGGATCAAGGACCTAGGAATTAAACCAGAGACACTGCACCTAATACAAGAAAAAGTAGGCCCAAATCTCTCATGTTGGATTAGGCCCTGACTTCTTAATAAGACTCTTATCAGAATTAAAATAAAGAATAAATGGGATGGACTCAAACTAAAAAGCTTCTTCTCAGCAAAAGAAACAATCAGTGAGGTGAAAAAAGAGCCTACGTTTTGGGAACAAATTTTTGCCAATCGCACATCAGATAGAGCACTAATCTCTAGGATATATAAAGAACTTGACTTTTTAGAGGTTTCTCCTGTCATTTCGTACAAAGTTCCATGGATTTTCAGAGCATTGAAATGGTTTTATTTGTTAATTTTGACTTGCTTTATAATAGTATTTTGGAGAGATTTGCACACTCTAGTACTTGCCCTTAGAATTCCTGTCCTTCCAATACGTACGTACGTGTGTGTGTGTGTGTGTTTGTGTGTGTATGTGTGTAGGAGTGGTGTTGGTGGTAGTGGTATACTGAGTATCAGATCCAGGGGCACCTTATCACAGCACTACATCCCCAGCCATTTTTATTTTTTATGTTGAGACAGGATTTTGCTAGGTTGCCCAAGTTGGCCTTGAACTTGATTTTCTTGCCTCACTCCTGAGTTGCTGGGATTACAGGCAGGCACCATCATTCCCTGCTCTGCTAATACATTTTTTTTTTTTTTTTTTTTGTGGGGGTACCAAGGATTGAACTCAGGGGCACTTAACCACTGAGCCACATTCTCAGCCCTATTTTGTCTTTTATTTAGAGATAGAGAGATAGGGTCTCACTGAGTTGCTTAGAGCCTTGCTTGTGCTGAAGCTGGCTTTGAACTCGCGCTCCTCCTGCCTCAGCCTCTCAAGCCACTGGGATTATATGTGTATGCCACTACACCCAGCCACATGGCCTCTCTTGGGGAGTGCATCTCCTTGAACACCATCAAGCCATGCCTGTGACATATGCCCTGTAGGTCTTTCTATATAAGATCCCAGTCAAGATACAGACACCTGTGACCTCAGGAGCCAGGTGAAACCTCTGCTGCACACACATACAATTAGACAGCATAGGCCATGGGGAAGAGTCCTGTGCTGGCCAACAGTGTAACTGAAAAACTGTGGTCTTCCACTCCTAATATTTTTAAAGCTCTGTCTATTCACAATCTTTCACAATGTTTTCCACTTACAGGTAATCAGTGTTCTGACTGACATTTGGGGAAACCCTCCCCACCCCCCGCCATGGTACTGGGGATTGAATCCAGGTGCATTCTACCATAGAGCTACATTTCTAGCCCTTCATTTTTTATTTTGAGACAGCATCTCCATAAGCTGTGGAGAGTGGCTAGCCCTGAATGTATGATCCTCCTGAAGGTTTCCCTTACCCATCCTAGGAACTGATGTTATAGTCCTGTGTTACCCACTGACTTACCATTGTTTTTGAAATTCATCCATTTTGATTTATTGATTTTCACTTGTCTACATTATTTTATGCTACTTCATTGTAGTAATGTACCATAATTTTCCCATTCTATTTTTAGTATATGTTTATTTTTGTTAGTATCTCACAAAACAAAGATGACATGAACATTATTTTACCTGTATATGAGTTTTGTTTCCCTTTCCTCCTCCCACCCTCCTTTCCTTCTTTTTTTTTGGTACTGTGGATTGAACCCACAGGTGCTTAACCACTGAGTCACACCCCCTCCAGCCCTTTTTAATATTTTATTTAGAGACAGGGTTTCACTGAGTTGCTGTGTTCCTTGCTAAGTTACTGAGACTGACTTTGAACTCCTGATCCTCCTGCTTCAGTCTCCTGAGCCGCTGGGAATATAGGTGTGCACCACCAAGACCAGCTGTATATGAGTTTCTTTAGACAGTGTTTTTAAAGGTTCAGTTGCTACCTGTTGGTTGTGAAATAAGCTGACTTAGTCATGATCTAAGTGTATTACACATGTAAGGGTATCTTTTTGTTTCATGAATATCACCAGAAGACACCCCCAACTCCTAAGATAACCCTTTTTCTTGTATACTACCATCTCTAGAGAAAGCAATGCACCATCCCTATTCTGTGTCTTTCCTTCTGTAATGCCCTTTCATGTTGTCCAGTGAAGTTCTTCATCTGCAAAATCATCAGTACTATATTATCAACGTATTCTGAACTTTACCTTCTTACACTAACAGTGACCTGATTTTTCACTGAGGAAATGGCTTCGCCTTGCTAGTGGTGGTTTGTTTTTTTTTGTCTTGCAGTCTCCATCTTGTCTGTCCTGGAGGATGGATAGTGGTTTTCTTGGTTTTCATTGCCATTTATTTCCTTCCTTCCTTCCCTCCCTCCCTTTCCTTTTGTTTCCTCAACTTACTTCCTTTCTTTCTCTGCCCTCCCTCCCTTCTTTTTCTTTCCTATACTAGGGATTGAACCCTCACAGTTTGGAGTCTGAAAATTCAAATGGCCTAACACAGACTCAGTGAGAGCTGTCCCTTGGCTGTATTTCCTCACAGCATGGTTAGCAGTGGTGGAGAAAGTAAGCAAGTTAGAGCAGAGAGCTGGGTGGGACCAAAGTCAGGCTTTTATAACAACCCTTTCTTGAGAACTACCAGAACTACTTTCTGAATGCCCAACCTCAGTGACCTCAGGACCTTCCCCAGTCCCCACTCATAGAAACTATCCTGAGACCAAGCCTTTAATCACATTGGACCCTTGGAGACTCTCAGACCATACTGTGGCATCATCTCCTTCATCTTCACCTTTAACTAGTAATCCTGCTTTCTACCTTCTTGGAAAATTTGTAGTCCAGAGAAAACTTTCAGGGATTCCTCTTTTGTTT